TGGTTTGTGCTTCTTGACTGGACTACCTCAAAGGGCTGACAGGACCTTAATAGCTTAAAAACATTTACTTGTAATTAACTGTGTTCTTTTAATGGATTTCTAGCCTGCCTTTGGAGTATATACTCTCCCAAGATTCCTTCCATGATTTTTTAAAAAGCAAACCAAACATTTAAAAAGCAATCAAAATATCAATGTTACAATAAACGTTGCAGATAAACTTAGTCTTAATTTAAAAACTGTTTTTTCTGCTACTATCATCACATTTTATTTACTGTTTTTCAAGCCTGTAAGTTAGCAGCAACCCTTGGAGGTGTCAAAAAATGTCAAGATGGCTCTCTGAAGAGCGCAATCAAAGGCCCACCCCTTGGACATTTATGCAATGCACATCGTGCTGCCACAGCCACCATCTTGACTTAAAAAAAAAAAAAACTGCAGATATTGCTGCCTGTAGTCTGAGAGCTTACAATGTTCAATATCAGTTTAAAAAGTTAACCAAAGTGTACATGAACTTTTAGCAAGTTTAAAAGGGAACCATTAAAACAAGCCAAATCCAACAGAAAACATATTACTTTTTTTTAAATGGCATATGTAATTTGAAGAGAACAGGGAGGACTATACATTTTTAAAGTCCATTTAAATAACAATGTATACAGCCAGGCACCTGTCTCTTATGAAGGAATTCCACAGATCCTATTTTGTACAACTTCTACCCTGTATGTCAGTGTTTCTCAACCTTGGCAACTTTAAGATGTGTGGATTTCAACTCCAGAATTCTCCAGCCAGCATCTAGTGGACATCATTATTCCATGATCTTAATGCCAGGCAGGCTGGTAGGGGTACCATAACAACCTTAAGTCACAGACTGGTCAATAATGAGGTAGGCCAAGAATGGGAAATTGTTGTCAGCCCAAGGACTGCATTCTAGTAGGGCTGGGCCAAAGTCAAAGACAGAATCTTGTACAATAAACTAGAACTCTGTTCATTGTCAGACTCTGACAGACTTTGGAATATGTTACATGTTATGCACAGTTGCTCAAATATAATGGTGAGAAGCAGCTCAAAGTCTTAATCCCATCCATGCTTACTCAGAAGTGAAGTAGCAATAGCAAGGAAGTAGAATTACTTGCAGTAGCTATAGAACAGCTACCCAAAAGCTAATTTTCATTAACCATCTGGACACTCATACAGACAAAAACACCACATTTTCTAGCTTGTGATTCCAATCTATTGCATCCATACCCAGATTTTAGATGCCACTGAGTAGAGTTAGGGTCGTTTCAAAGTATTTTGTTTTGGTTTTCTATAATACGCATTTTTTCACTGCTCCACATGAGCAAGTGTAAAGTGAGGCATATTACCACAAAATCTCCTCATTTCCTATATATGATGACAGAGCTGAGCATGCACTGACCAAACACGAAAGGAATCTTGGGACTGTGATGCTTAATGAAAATCTGTGTTTCAATGTCCATATTTGAGATCAGAAAGAATAAAGCAACCATCATCTAAATACCTTAATACAAGTCTACAGCATGAAGCCTCGCCAAGGATGTTATAGAGCTGGAAAAGGTGCCAAAAGAAGCAGTCAAGGAGATGAAGGGGTGGGGAGGATTACCAATCTATGGAAAGTGACAGCATTATGAGTTGTCTTGGTCTCATAGGGTGGAGACTGCTTCGTTGGCTCATGCCCTGTTCCTCCTTCAAACTTCCAACTGTCCTAGATGCAGCTTGTTTTACTTAAGAGAACACCTCTAACTCTAGTTCAGTCTCAGTTGAACATCAGCATGGCAACTATAGAAGATTTTAATCAAAGTTGCAAAGGCTACCAAATTTTTCCTTTAGTAGCCATCCAACAGACATCCCAGAAGACTTGGTATTTCCAGTCCACCAAGCTGTTTTCTTTCAGAGCTACACTTCTACACACACACTTGAATTATTTTGGCCTTGATTATTTAAATTGGATCAATAAATTATCTCAACACACACACTTGAATTATTTTGGCCTTGATTATTTAAATTGGATCAATAAATTATCTCAAGAGCTACACTTCTCAAATGAAGACTTTGGTTTAGATTTCTTCTCTCTCCTTTTGGGAAAAGTCAGTGGCAAAGAATGAAATCATTAGAAGGAAGTTGCTGGATTTGAAACAAAAGCACCCACTTTCCAGCAGATGCCTCTTGCAATTCAAGTTTCATTTCATTTCCATACATATGCAATCCCATATATGTCTACTCTGTAGTAACCTAGTTGAGTTCAGTGGGACTTACTCCTAGGTATGTGGGTGTTTGGATCTAATTTTTATTTGTGTCAAAAATTCATTCTTTATTCCCTATGGCACCTCTTTGCCTTTATAGACGGGCTTGTTGTGGGTTGTTGTTTTTTTTAATCCTCATTTTACACTCCCCCTGTTTCTAAAACAGGATCAGCTTGTAAGAGAAAAAGCTGAGATAATTTATTGATCCAATTTAAATAATCAAGGCCAAAATAATTCAAGTGTGTGTGTGTTAAGCAAACAGCCCCCTCCTGGTGCATAATCAGACTTCACTCTTCTCCCTGATCTAAAATCTGTGTAGGAGTAGCAGCCTGGCAACATATGAGTTAACAAGGCAGCACGTGTTAAGTTTAGCTGAGTAATGCACCTAGTTAAAGTTTTCAATGCAGCTGCAATTTGGAGAGAGAGAGAGAGAGAGAGA